TTTCCCATTACGTCGTAGCGCACTCGGTGTTTGCTTGGAAGTTTAGGGGTTTTTTCGCTGTAAAAAGAAGTTTTCTTCCTACGCACAATGGACTGTTTTTGTCACCTTTTATGGATTCAAACTCAAAGTAAGGTCAGTACTTCCACACTTTAAACGCTGCACGCTCATACTCTCTCCCGCACTCGATATATTATCCATTGTTGATCTGCACACAGCTGTTGTCACGAACGTCGCACTCGGTTACGTCACTGTCATGAGACATTCTCTCAAAAAAATCACGGTTTTAGTAACGCAGCGTTCCTACGGGAAAGTAACTAATCTAATTACCGTTTTTGCAATAGTAATCCCTTACTTTACTCGTTAGCTGAAAAAAGTAACTGCCCATCTCTGGACACAACATCAAATCTTTTTATTGGCTGGTGAAAATATGATAATATATGATAATTCAAGCAGTCTTTGTAAAGTCCCATTCTTGAGCACACAATAAAACTCATCAGATTGCAGAGGACAGCTTGTGACAGTTACTGATTGGTATATAGTTGTATTTCACAATAACATAAAGTAAAACGAGCAGAATACTAGTTGGATCACAAAAACAGTATATATGAGTAGTAGTTTAATCCAAATAGAACAAAACGATGGACTTTCCAGTAAAATTTCAGGCAAGCAGGATCAGGCAATCTTTCTCTGAAATTTTACTGGGTAGAATTATTAGGACAGCAAAAAAAAGTGTTAATGTACTCTCAGGGATTCGATGAATGCAGAAGATGAGTTTCAGATTCAGAAAGCCAACAAATAGGTCAGTCAGCAGAGATTTTGACTCGCCATAGCAGGAAAAGCACAGGTGTAATTGACAACATTAAAAATGACTGGATTCTATTTAGGTGAGCAAGCTTGGAGGATCCTGGTAGGCTAATCCTCAGCTGTGGCTTCCTGCCTGGGACAGGGACTGCAGCTGAGCCACTGTTAAGAATATTTCCTGCTATGACAAGTGCACAAATCTGCTGTGAAATGGGTTCATTGATCATCGCTTCACCTTAATGTCACCACTGCAGCTGTGTCATGGGAGTGTGCACAACCCCCCTCTCACACAGGAGAATGCTTGTCTTGTTTTTCAGTGCCACTTTAGGAGAAACGTCTAGTTTGTGTGCATGGTAAAGACTATAATTGATCTTAATTGAGGCTCTGTCTGTTTGTTTTTTTTGCTACTTCAGCATAAATATTAACAAACGAAGTATTTGTTGTGCCTCTCGTATCAGAGTTCAAAGTTCTAGGTAACACCTTATGATACAGCTCGCAATTAAGGGCGCAATTCCCGGTAATCAAATGGAATTTCTGTGGGTTTTATTTGAAATGATAATGTAATTATATTTATCTACAAATACTTAAAGGTAGGTACACTTGAATGAGGGGATAACAATTCAGGATTTTATAGGAAACAAAGAAATAATTATACTGCAAGTAAATTTCAGTACAGTGTAAGTAGTTTTAGGTAGTGTCTTAGGTCATAAGTACCCTGTGTTTTTCAAGGCGTTGTCCGTATTATGGAGTGGATTAGTCTTGTCTTTTGGGATCTTTTTTCAATATTCATTATGTTGATGTGCACGATTGATGTTCTATTATTCAGCTGTTCTTTTATTTGACCAATCTAAATGAGAACTGCTCCCCCTCAGCAATTTATAAGAGAAAAAATAAATAAATACTGTCAAAGTTTGCATGTGACCTCATCATGATGGACCGAAATCTAACTTAATTTATTTTCTTTTTTTCACAATCACTGTTCAAACATCTTTCAAAGTGAGTGTAAAGGAATAAGTGTCCTTGGTGTCTCCTTTCCCATGAAATACCTGTAAAGTACCTGGAAGTTAGACAAGGTTAAGTCACTCCATAATACAGCACGCACCCCGAAAGGTACAGCATACTTACAGTGAAATGATTTCCTGTAAAAACCATGTACTCAGCGCTACTTAAAATTATTAATGCACTACCTATAATTAATTACACACTACTTAAAATTTACAGAAATGTAATTGTTTCTGTTGTTCCTTGTATTGTAATTTTGCATAAAATAATAATTCATAAAAGTGGTTCAAAGTTCGTAGTTGTAACCGTCTAACAACCAACAAAAGTATGGGAGAAAATGATGGCGTCATCAGAAAAGTAGGGCTACCATCTCGCAATGTGACAAATAAACAAAATAAACTAGATTAGGTTGAAGTAAAATATCTAAAGAGAATTTTTGTCATTCCAGCCAAGCAGAAACTCTGCTTATGTTGCAGCTGAAGCTTGTTTGCGTGATGTTTCCTGCAGATGTTCATCAGCCACGTGAAAGAGGGCGTAGCATGAAAACAAATGGCGAAGAATGAACTGTGTGTCTTGGCTGCGATTCAATAGCTGTTATTGCTCTGAAATCTGCACGCAGGGCTCGTTTCAGTGTTCTGTATTCATTTCACATTATTGTACCTTTTCTGTTCCTTCCTCAGATGACTACCCAGCAACCATCAATGACCACCACAGCCCCTCCTCTATCCCCATTTGTCCCAGCCCTCGAATCCTTACTGGCTGCCCCGTTCCCACTGTGCCTCCAGCCGGCCAATCAGTGCCCCACATCCAGACTCCGCTGTCTGACCCCAGCCAACCGCAGCCTCCGCTGAAGGTGGCAAAGGAGTGTCCACAGAGTGCCAAGCAGCCCAGCGGGTCAAGGTCTGGCGCGCGCAGCACCGGCAGCATCAGCTCGGCTGTCTGCCCTCTCAACAGGAACAAGAAACAGAAGCTCAGCTGTGCCAGCGACGGAGGGCAAACGGTTGCCAAGCAGCCGAAGAATGGCCGCCAAAAATCCACCAACGGCTGGAGGCCATTTGGCCTGTCCTTTGAGAAGGAGGTTTTCTCTGTGGTATGTAGAGAAAGTCATTTTGGTGCTTTTTGACACAGCCACAATGGCACCACTTTTAATTAGAGCTGATGTAATTTTACTGAAGTGTCCTGAGAGAGTATGGGGGGTGATTCATAACACCTGTTTCACTGTTGGATCAGGGCTTATTCACTATTTTTTACTACATTTTATCCAGCAACGCCGACAACCAAGGCGCAGAAGCCATTCAATACAAATCACATCCTGCAGCTTTTTACTCCACAGCCTCTCAAAGCTTATCAGTTTCTGACTGCTAGAGGAGTCAGTATTTCCTGCTGCTGTGTTCCCAGGGAGAGGACACTCTGGTGCTGAGGAAGTGCTTTGAGGGAGTCCACAGGGACGGGGAGCTGATTAGAGTCAGAGACACTGTTCTGCTGAAATCTGGACCTAGAAAAAAGTCTCTGCCTTACGTGGCTAAGGTCTCAGCTCTGTGGGAAGAGCCAGAGTCAGGTAGTACGCTCGCTGTACGCAGCATTTACTCAGACCACACGAGAAGACGCATTTATGTGGTAATAAGTGGTTTGAGAAGTGAAGTTAAAGACGTGCTATGTTTTACTTTTTTTTCTTTCCTTCAGGAGAGCTGATGATGAGTTTGTTTTGGTACTACCGTCCAGAACACACACAGGGAGGACGCAACCCCAGCGTACATTGTGAGGTGAGAAGGCTTACCACGGCTTTCTAATAACTGTCAGTGGTAATTATAGACCAGCAAAAAATATAGCTTGTGTCAACTGCAGCATATTCAGCGCCTGTAATCATGGCTATTAGTGATGCACAGGTCGAGCCAGTTCACGTACGCTTAATAGAAAGCATCACTGGTTCTGGCGGGAGGAGTTAAATAACTCACAGAAACACTGTGTGCAATATGCCAGGCTCTGATTACTACCTTCGTGTCTCCTTTATCTGCGTATCTCTCCTTCTCTGAGACATACACTGAAAGACTCAAGTCCTGCTATTGCCTAACAAAGCTATAAAGTAGCCCAAATGTCTATTAAGATGGGAGAACAAGTGGATCAAAGAGACTCTCTGGTACCTTAAGTGCTCATATAATATCCTTTTAATGCTGCTATGATCATTCAGCGCTGCTGAGATTGCACCAGAGGCCAATCCGCTGCCTCTATAACAAAATATTTTAGGGGAAACTTGACTTTAGGTCCACATTTTACTGTTTGGTGAAACACACTCTACTCAGAAGCTACAGCGATATATAATTCGAGGTCATGTAACTTTAAACGGCCTTGCTTTGTTGTGCACTGCGAGGAAGTTTGGAAAATCCTGCCTGCTGCATGTAATTTCCATGTAATTTTTACTCGCCTCTTTGATGCAATTCTAGTAGCTGGATCAAATGGAATTGTAAAATTAGTGTTGTCACGGTTAAGGTCACGGCACGGTTCGAGGTGGATCCAGGTGTTTGATCGACACATATTATTGTGGGTTTCCACACTCACACAACAAGCAGGTTGAGTGCTGTGATTTTAAAAAAAGGGGGGGAATTGTATCCACGCTTAACTAATGGCTGTAATGTGTGCTTCGTGCTGGCTTTCTAAACCAGAAGAGATTTTAGATACTATTAATAAATATAATGACTCTTATTATAGTGTTAAATGTGTTTTCTATTGTCAACAACACATGTTATGTAAACTTTAAAACACAGAAAGAAAGGGAACACGCTAAAATGCTTCTCTAATTATCCAAAACCTGAAGATGTAGTTTATTTTAAAACCTGCTGATTTAATATTTAGAAAATGAACTAAATGTGTATTAATCCAGGGCTGCAGATTGTTCCCAAAAAGTATGCTGTCTACTTCTGTTAAACCACCAGCTGCTTAAGTACAGTGAACGGTGTTTTAGGAAAAATTCAGCAGTGTATTTATAGCAGGCTGTGAGCTGTTTCTCACTCAAATACCAGTGCAAGGTATTCACCTTCACTCTCATTGGCTCATTGGCTTGCCCAAGGACATTAAGTATATTTCTTTGCATTGGGACACCTTGAACTGTGTTACAGAATAAGAATAACCATTGTATCAAAGCAATGAATGCACAGTTGTACAGTACAGTGCAAAAGTCTTAAATCATCACTATTTTTTGTAAAAGTTTGCTATTTTATTATTTATATATTTTATTTATCACTGCAAAGATTTCATGTGCCAACTGACATGTAAATACAACATATAAGAAAAAAATATAGTTTGGATAATTTTAACAAGCTTTAAAGTCAATATTTGGAACTCTCTTATCCAAGCTTTCCTGTCATTTCTTTAAGCGGTCTTTAGGAATAGTTCTCCAGGCGTCTTGAAGAACATTCAAAGCTCTTTTTTGTATGTTTGCTGCCTTTTGTTCCGTTACAGACGGCTCTTTTCTCTTTTGGCCTTTTCCTTCTGTTTCCCCTTCTTAAGACTGGCTTCTTGACAGCCACCTTTCCCCTGAGACTATTTCTGATGAGGCTTCAGTGAACAGTAAAGCAACTGTGGGGCCAGATTAATCTCTGAGGTCCTGGGTCAGGTCCTTGCTTTTTTCCTTTTTCTTAAGGACTTTCAGAGACTGTTCACCTCCTACCACTTTTTCCTTTGTCCTCCAATTGTGCAATTTACTCAGATTTTTTTAAGGACACATTGCACTGCACCGAGCAGAGGCACATCAAGTTTGTGGCTAATAGCTCTTTGGAAATCACCTTGTTGGTGCAGAAGTACTATTTTTATACCTATCAGTGTGTGTTATTCTTGGCTTTTTTCACATCTTCAACTAAGAAAATTGGAACAAATTACATGTTTTTGCAATAAGCAGATAGTAACAAAGTGACTGAAGATAACATTTAAAGTGGGTCTTTGTTAACTTTCTGTTATGTGTAAACACAACAATGGTGTATCTCTTGAGTTAGAGGTCTTTTTAATGCAGTGTTAAGTAACTCATCAAACAACAACAACAACAAAAATTCCTCTGTAAATGGTCAAGTGAAAAAGCAGCTGATGTACAAAGAAAAACTTTGAAAGACCTTCATAAAGCCTGGAAAACCTTTGCTGAAGATAAATCTGACGCCTTAGAAGCAAAAGATAAAGAAATGAAAGGTGGCTTAACACTTTTGCACAGTAATGTGCGCTCACGGACGGAACGCGTTTCTATTGTGTTCACGTCCTGATGTCAGTAATCTCCCCGAGGAACGAGTTCAATTCACTGTCTAGAAACATTAAACCACATGAAGTCTGTCGACTCTCAGCGTGCCCTGACAGACAACAAACACATCAGAGCAGCAGTGTGAGAACGGGAACACGGCTTTGTCACAGAGGATGACGTAAAGCATCTTTCTCTGCAAATCGGTTTTATGTATCTGGAAGTGAAGGTGAGGCAGGAGGGATTGTTTAAAATTTAGAAGAGAGATTTAGTTTTTAAAGTCCCAACCTGCTACTTCTACATGTAAGAGGATATCATGATGGGGTTTGTTTGTTTGGGCTTTTTTGTATGGATCTAACCCGAGTGTCTTTCTCTAGAATGAGGTCTTTGCATCCCGTCACCAGGATGTGAACAGTGTGGCCTGTATTGAAGACAAATGCTATGTCCTAACATTGGCACAGTATTGTCGGTAAGCAGGAAAGCATTTTTACTTTCTGTCGTGTTCTTAATTTCAGGTAGTTTTGAGCCATTAGGGGTGTTTTTGAAGTTAGTTTGTTGTGTCATGTTGTGTTTGTTTCCTGTCCAGATTTTGTGCCTTGGTAAAACGCCGTAGAGAAGGCGTCAGCGACAGCGCCGCCTCCCTCGTGGTGCCCCCTGTTGTTGGAAACGCCATGCCCACCCACCACTGTGTGCCCGATGACACTGACCCAGAGCTGGTGTTTTTCTGTCGACACGTCTACGACTTCCGCTACGGACGCCTCCTCAAGAACCTGCAGTAGTATCTGACGAGGCATGACATCACATTACACCCCGGTTTCATCTGCCACAGATTCTCACTGGCTGCCTCCGTGAGAGAGGAACTGGAGTTTCGGACGACGGCTTGACAGCTTATTTTCTTTTCAGTCTCTCATTCATGCTTACATGTCACGCATTTATTAAGTAAACTAATGGTCTGACGTAATATATAAGAGTTGTTATGGCAGTGTAAATCTTTTTCTTTGATCATACATGGCTCTCTGGTGTTGTAGCAGCTGTGTGAAGAACCTGGAACGTACTCTGCTGTAGAAAATGCTACTGTAGCTCTTAGAAATGTGAAATTTGATTAGATTGCCGAGAACTCGATGTTTCATGTGAATAATGCTACTATCTGCCTGACAGACAACAGATAACACAAAGTATCTTGATACGCCATAGATGATGAAAATATGTGGCATATTGTGCCACACCGGATGGTGCAGCTGAAGACTTAATCGCATCTTTTTTTCACTCAGTTTATTTCTGCTGCTTTGAGCTGCACTGAGTCCATTTGATAGTGAAAACGTGGCGTTTTCTACTGACACGGCATATAGAAATCTTACTGTAATGCAGCTGTGTTCATGCTGTTCTGAGAAATTGTGATAGTCTGGGAAATGTGCTTGCTTGTGATAAATAAGAAGGAATCAGTTTCATGTCTGTTTAATCAAAATGAAATAATCACCAGCAGCTGGTTAGTATAGCTTAGCATAAAGTCTAAGTTTGACTCTCGGGGCAATGGTCGATGTAATTAGCAGCTGTCAAGGGCAAGAACGCCTGTTCTGTCAGAGTGTTATCGACTGCATGTGACTGCAGATCAGTTTTAAAGAAGCTAGGTGTGTTTCAGTAAATCAGCAATCCCTATTTTTCCCCCTCTAAATGCATGCTGTCGAAGCATGCTCAAACATGATTGGTTGATAGAACGTGGTCTACAAGCAGACTACAAATATCTGCATACATATCTTTTTGGAGCGATTGTGCTAAGCTTAGCTTAATTAGCTGCTGGCTCCAGCTGTGTGCTTACAACGTATACAGAGAGTGTTCTCATCTAAATCTCAGCAAGCAAGCATGTAAGGAGGTTTCCCAAATATTAAAATTGACATTTTTGTCTAATGGTGATTGATTTTGGAGAGCTTTGCAGCGCGCCCCAAAGATAGCCATGAAAGACATTCTCAGTCAAACGGTTTGATTGAATCTAATTAGCAGTGAAAAAGTATAACAAGAGCAAGCAATTAAAGGTTTTTTTGGCTTCTTCTCTACTTAAGTTTTGAGAGAGATGCAGGTTTTATTCCGTATCTGTGTCTGTAGGGAAGACTTTCACACGGGCATGCTAACCGCTAAAAGACAGCGAGAGTTTAGTTTGCTTGCTTTCACATTGCGAGGATCAGCCGAGCATTGAAGGGGATTTTTGTTATGCCAATGCCGAGGAATATTTAACTTTTTCAAAGCTGTTTACCAGAGGTGTGATTTGACTCCGGTGTCAGCGTACTGTATATTTGCATTTAAATATCTGGATGGGTGTCTGTTAGTGGCAGATGGCATCAGTTAGTCACGTATATTCTTGTTTCTTCACTGATGAGCTGGTGAATAATGTAGTCAGTGTAGCATTTAGATCTGTGATGATGATTCGTTCCTATGTTTAAGAAAAGATATGTATTTATTTCTGTACTGAGAAAATCTATAATTTATTTTCAAAAGATCATTTTAAAGAGTTTTAGATGAGTGGCTTGCATTCCTGATTAGAAAGGAGGCTGAAGATGTCTCTCTGTAGCTGCACTGTCTAAGTGTGATAGTCTTTGCAGCGGTATTTCTGTGTTTCAGCTCGCTTACCCAATACAAGCTCGTGCAATTTTGCTTTGAGACACTGAAGTAGGCAATAGGCAGATTTGAGGACACATATGGAGTATTTGGAAGGATCTCAGATGCGGTTTGAAGGACATGCGCTAACATGTGACCAGAGATGCTAAACCTTGCAGGACCAAAATGTACCCTGGCCTTTTCCAGTTTCCTGTCATCCTCCTTTTCATTTCCCCTGAGATGGTGAAGCTTTGCCTCTTCACCTTTAAATGCCGATTGCTTCACTGATTTTAACTTACCATTAGCCTGTGCCCTGGATCTTTGCTGCCTTATAGAACATTCCCAGCCTTTTATTTAGTAACGTGTATTGATCTCAGTCTGGAGTTATGAAGCTTGTAAGTGCGCTGATCTTGATTCCTAGATGCTTGACATGTATTTCAGTGTTACCTGTGATCTTATGTGACCTGAAAGTCCATCTTAATCAACGTTTTTATTGAGAGTGATGTTTGGTATCAAACTACTTAACTAGTTGAGAGTAGATGAGGATTTTTTTTTTCTTTTTTCTTTTTTGGAGAAACTAACTTTTTACAGAGTGTGATATGACAATACTGACAATGCTTTCATATCAGTACTTTAAATATAAAGCAGAAGCTAGTTAGCTTAGCGATCTATAATGCTTGGAAGTGGGAGCGGGCGGTAGAAAGCCAGATGCACCCTTATCATCTGTGAGCATAATAGGTAACATTGTGTATGTAATTTGTTTAGTCTGTATAAATCAAAGTGTTATAACAAATTTCTTGTTAGCAAATTTTGTGTTGTTTTTGGTTTTATGCTAGGCTAAGCTAAGCTAAGCTAACCAGCTGGTTACGGATTCATTTCTTACATGCAGACCTTAGAGCATTCTGCCATTGAAAAAAAAATTTTTTTTGCCATCCATAAGTCACAATTTGGGGTTATTATGCCAAAATTTCAAGTTAAGAATCTTAACATTTTAATTTATTAATTTAAAAAATATCAGAAAATAACTCAAAATAATAATAAAAAACACCTTCAATCTTGAGGTTAGGTCAAAACTTTGAGATAATAATCCACATTTTTTTACTTATGGATAGCCAAAAATATATATATTTTTAAGTGGCATAAACAAGCTTCCATACTGTTTTGTTTTGGGGGGTTTTTGGTAACTCTCCACAAGAAAGCTTTGTTCACAAAATGTCAATCACCTGGGGCCAAGCAGCAATGCAAAATTTGGCACATTGATTGGTGTCACTGATTGTTTTATTCTTTTCATATCACAGCCCATTAATGACTATTTGTGCATTATATTATATATACCTGTTTTTGTTTGTTTGTTTGTTTGTTTGTTTGTTTGTTTGTTTGTTTGTTTAGATTTAAGATATCCAAGCAGGATATCTTACCATAACTTTGATTTATCCGTGCAAAGATCAGTATGTGGATTTGGGATCCCATTTGAAGGAAACATTAAAAAAAAACTTGCCCATTGATCATTGGAAGCATTCTAATAAATAAATTCTTCTTTCTCTTGCAAGTCCCAAAGCTAACCACTTTACTGGAATTTTTCCCAGGTACAAATTCTTTGCAATCCTAACCAAAATTGCAAAGAATTTGTAATTTGTACAATTTGAATTTGTAATTTTGTACTTCAGACAGAGTATCAAAAAATTTGCCAGATGGATTTTCAATTTCTCAAACTGCTTTTCTGACAGAAAGTGGAATCTCATCTCAGCTACTGTTTCATATAATGACACGAAATTTCATTTGGGGACTTTTTATGATTTTTGCTACAATAAGAAAAAGAAAAAAGCCACATTTTATACTCATATCAAGAGGTTGTTGTGACTTTGTCCTGCTAAACCGCTTGGCTCCCTCCTCACTGCTTTAACTCGGTAGTTTAAGCTTTCCTGAAAAACATAATAGTTAGCTTGATTTGTATCATTTCTTATGAACATTAATTGATGCAGTCATCATGGTGAATAAACTGTGTCAAAATGTCCAGAGAAGCTTCCCTAAACCACGTTATCATAATAAACCTCTCAGTGTATGTTTAATAAGTTCCATAAATACAGATAAAAAGACATTCGGACAAACATACTCAACACGATAACACAAGGACATATGAGCTGACTACAGCTGCTGATCTACACGAAGGAGGCGTTACACCTGACCTACAAGCACAGTAGTATTTGATAGTCAAAATTTTAGGTGGGGTATCACTTTAAAATGGCCACATCCCGCCTACATCTCCTTTGCTCCTTATCCTCTGAAAGTGGCATAGACATTTTTTGTTTGTTTGAATTCAGAAATAATTTAAATAGATGTCTCATATTCATTTATTTGTGTTTATTTCAATTCATCTGAATTTATGCGATTTTAATATGTCCTTCTGATACCCCGATGATTTAAATATTATCATGTCTTTATTCAACAAACGTTTAAAAAAGAAAATCTGAATATTGCTTGATGGTGTATGAAGTATAGCCAACTTGAATCAGGTGAAAATATTTGGTTTGATTTGGTTCAACAACTTAAATCCAGAATTAGAAAACCACACCGCGCACATTTTATGGCCTTAGGAATCACTCAGCAAACTAATTATGTTTAACCAAGATGTGTGATGCTTGTGTCTTAATTGGTCCTCTGTGCCTGTTCCCATTATCCTGTATTACATGTATTCCAAGAATTTTCCACAAAGAAAAGTACAAATAGTTACTGTAGTTTTTGCGTACCTTTCAAATGCCTTTCACTTTTCATCAGATGACACAGTTCTTGGTATTGAGCTTGAATCACCACAAAGAAATGCTTTCACCAAAAAGACTAAGACTAAAAGAGGGCAGGGGGTTAAACCATGAATTGAACTTCATTCCCAGGTGTACTTCTTATGTGAATTTGTTTGTTTCTTTGCATGGCTTTTTTTTGGAAATATCTTGGAAATATTAATCACAGCACAGATTATTTGTATGGTTTCAAATGGACCTGTAATATAAGAAAAATATTTAATTGTAATAAATAATATATGAGTTTGAACAAGCTTCTGAGTTTTTATTACCTACACGTATGTTATTATGGATGCAGTAATGCTTCTTGCCCACATGGTGGCCCACTTGGACAATTTTTTTTTTTTTTAAACATCTGATTTGTTTTTTAATAAATTAAAAAGTCATTGCAATAATCAAAGCACAGACTTACTAAAAGGTTTCAGAGATAAATATTAATGTGTAACATGCATATGTGGAAAAAGGTAAACACACAAACCTACATAATCATGGCTGATCTCGTCTCTTTCAGTCTTTTTTTCCTTTACTTCAGTTTTTATTGCATATTTGATTTGATTTGATTGGAAATTGCAAGTAAAATATTTTTTACCATGCATAAAAATAATTTTGCCTCAAATCTTTCTCTTTTGTTTGTGCTTTTTGTTTCATTCAATCCCCTTTTTCAACTGAACTGGATACATGCCCTTTTGTCTGTTGTGCTGCATAGATCATGATGGAAAAGACAAGAGAGGCAGCATCTCGAAAGGAGCCATGAGGAGATATCAGTCATCTAACTTTGATAATTAGGCATGTGATGAATATGCATGATGCCTCTGGCACAGCTAAATTTGGTTCTGAGATTTTAAATGGCACGAGCAGGTAAGTGATTTGCATCTGTAACAGCAAGCACGTGTGAGTCAGAAAGCTCATCTGCTTCAGCTCACACACTGGGCTATTTAGTGTGATTATATGTCTGTGTGAATGGCATTTATATAGTCATCAGTCTGTATATGATGTGAATTCTCAGTGGTTGTGCAGCAAATTCCTGTTATGACTATGATACTGTCTTTACTGAATATCTGTACTGACTGTCAGTACAGGATTTATGGTTCCCAAATAAGGCTTAATGCACTAAGCAGTTAGGGAGAGAAATCAGTGGATCTGAAGCAGTTAAATATTAGGAATAAATAGTTTTAGTTTCAAATGCACACACAGAGTCAGAAAGGTTTGAAAGGTAATGGATAGACACTTATTCGGTTAAAGCAGCTATAAGTACTAAATTACCAGTTAAATTGCTTTGCAAATAGCACTAGAAATGATTTGTTAGTCAAATGCGAAGCAGTCGAAACAAAAGGGATGAATATAGCTGAACAATTATATGGTGAAAATATCTAAAATTGACACATTACCAGTTAAAATAGAAGTAGAAAAGCCACTAATTAAATAGGAATGAGAAAATGCATCTTAAATCATTAACCAAACATAAAGGTTCTCACTTAAGTACCATTTAGGCTGTTATGTATTTCATTGCGCTTGGATTACTGAAATTCATTGTTCACTTGTCTAAGCAAATACTCCCGGGAATGTCTCCAGGTTGTTCTGAACACTGCTGCGAGTGTTTTCTAGTTACTCTCATGTCACACCGTTGATCCAGCTGCACAGGCTCCTTCCCAGAGTCCATATCAAGATTCTGGTTCTGATTTTAAAGCTCTTCGTGTATGAACTACACCATACGAGGCTGAAAAGTAAAGGAGACAGTGCTTTCGCCACAGTGGCCACCAGACGTCTTCTCCTCTGAGCTTGAAATCTGTGGACTCATGGGTCTCTTTCAAGAAACAACAAAAAACCCATCTTTGTAGACTTGCATTTAGTTAACTCTTTTCTCTTTTTTACTGCTCTGGCATTTTGTTGTGAAGCACTTTGTGATCTTTGACTTGAAAGGTGCTATACAAATAAAATTTTACTTGGTGTTAGCTCCCGCTGAGATATCGTATCACTTCCTGTTCCTATTACAGCGCACAGTGGTGTTTTATGTAGCCTGTTTAATAAAAAAAAAAAAAACAACTTTAGATAACAACATAGTGTCATATCCAGGTGCTTTATCCAGAGCACACTCTGCTGAATCACCTGCTATTTATATTCACAGTATTCTGTCTGTAAGGATTCGATAGCTTAGCTTAGCTTGTAGCTGAGTCACTAGCAACATGGTTTTTCATCTGTCCCTTACACACTTTCCTGTTTAGTAGCAGCTGTTAAGCTTATTGTTGTTGTTAAGCTTCCTTATTACAAGCGTCATGTTAGTTATAAATGTAGCCTGTTTACCGTTCTGTAGGACAGGCTCTGTACTCTGGAAAATTCTGAAGCTAGCCACCAACAATAGCAGATTGTCTGGGCCAGGTAGATTTCTTTAAATAACAATTTACGTTAGGGTATTGACACCCAGTTATGTCAGTCGGAGGTCACTAAAATTCATAGTGAACAGGTGTGTAGTTTTACCAGAACAATGTCTCTCAGACTGTAGTTTTCTCTGGTCTCAGAAGTGACCTCTGAAATTGATGGCTTCTCTGAGTGGTGTCCAAGAAAACACTTTAGAGATAACTGAAAGATTTTCTGGGAAAAAACTGGTCATGTTATGAGAGATGTCAGCCATAACATTTTGGATGCAGCACTCATTTGTAGAAATCTGACTAAATTTGATGACCCCCCAAAAACATGACTATCCAGAGTTGGGACCAGAAAGCAGAGTTGATCCAAAATGCTGCAGCAAGAGTACTGACAGGGACTAGAAAGAGAGAGCATATTTCTCCCAGTCGGCTTTTCTTCATTTATTCCCTGTTAAATCCACTCAAATTTCAAATCCTCTTCTTCACATACAAGGTCTTGAATAATCATAACAATAACAATAATAATTCGGCAATTAATCATTAGTAATTATTCATCTCTGGTTGTCTTATGTCTTTTGTCCTGTCTTTCTCATAGTGGACATTTATTTGTTGGGGTATTCTCTGTATTATTATAGGGTCCTGAAATACAGTATAAAGCACCTTGAGGCGACTGTTGTTGTGATTTGGCGCTATATAAGTAAAATTTAACTGAATTGAAAGAAAGTGAAAATTGGAAGGGCAAAAAGTTGAAAGAGTCAAACGCATGTTAGCAGTATTTAATTTATAGAAGCTGACAAAACTCCGTAATAAAAAGT